CCTGCCGTTGAGGCGAAGGTGGAAATAGCAAGTCTAAGGCCACCTCTCGATGGCGACAAAGAATCTCGCCCATCTGTCGCATTGGAAACTCCACGCGAACTGACTGATAATACTGCTTCGCCTGAGCCGGATGAAAGCCAGAGACCAGTTATTGATTCTCAGGAGTTTGAGATCTTACCTTCAGAACCCGTAACTGCTTCAGAAGTGGTAACAGTTCAACCTGTCAGCGATGCTAAACGAAAAACGGCTGTAACTGAAATAGCCATGCCGCAATCTTCAGAAGCAAGTGAATTGGATGAAAGTGTTGAACCTGAATCTGCAATAAAAATTACAGAAAATACGGTTGATGCTCTAAAGACAACCGAGTCTCCTTGTATGGAGGAACCTCATGCTGCAGTTCTGCTTGAACTGAGGAAAGAATCCGATTTATTAGAGGATCAGAGCTGTTCCGCTGTTTCTCTAGAAGAGACTGCGCAAATCGAACGTTCTGTTCCTGAAGCTATTCAGCCAGTTTGTGGTTCAAACGAACAGCGTGAAGAAATGATGCATGAAACCCTAACGGAAGAACCCACGACTTTTACAAATAGAAACGTCGTCACTCAGGGTCAGATTAAAGATAAATATATCTCTGTTACTGAAACAAGTGCTGCTGATGACGGGGCGAAAAATGTTGAAACGGTTCAGTCGACCTACAGCAGAGATGATGAAGTGGAAATATCTGCTCCTCCTGATGCTGTCGACGAACTTCTAGACGTAGAGTCTAAACGGTAATTACACGTGACGTTAATATTTTGTTTAAAATCAAGTTTAGATGCGAACAGCATGAAGAACCTCAGTCAGCTGAAGCTTCAAAATCAGAAGGTACCGTATTTTAAATTTAAATGTCCCATTTGTTTTCTAAAGGAATCAGGCTAGAGGTGACCCGTAGTTCTTCGACAGTTGATAGTCGGGTTATAGATCTTAATAACATTTGGCTTAAGGAATATGAGAGTGTCAAACACTGCGGTTTTCATGCTCCATTTCCGTACCTCTGTATTTTTATGTCCATTTATTGTTAGCGCACCGAATGAGCGGAAGATATTCATCTGCGCCTAGCTGTGGCATGTCCTGCAATGTCTGATTCCGCTCTCTTTATTGGCTAACAAATGACTGGAGATTTAATTTTTGAGAGTAACATGAAAATTTTAGCCTAGTTTTTAGATTCAGATTTTAGCGCTGTTTTAGGAAAATATCTTCGGATTCTGAGTTTTATTTTTCGTCATTCAAGAATTCTGATGTACTCTGATATACATGCTTAAACAGCTGTCTAGTTGTAATAAGACTGCAACAGATGAAGGTGACTGATTGATGCATTTCTGTTTCTAAGGATGTTATTAAGTAAAGTATGATACTCTAAAACAAGAGGTTCTATGATGATCACTTTCTGTTAGTAACCGCTGTAGAGTTACGAACGACATTTGCAGTTGGAAAGAATTATGCTGCATCATACTTTCTATCTTTCACTTATCAGACAACCTCTTCCTTTTGTTTTATGTTTTCTGATCTTTTGTATCTGCAAGCTCTGTCCACAGCTTCAGTTTTATCCAAGAGTTCAATGCTTTGTAGAAGTCATGTCGAAGCCGCCGCAGAGGAAAAGAAAATGGAAAGCTACCACTGTCGGAAAGCGAACCACGGTTGCTATTTCATCAGAGTCACTGAAAGTGAGTCATCCAATACCCGTCTTATTTTGCTAGAGCTTACTGAGCTTAGGAAATTGTGTCTGAGATCCCTGCTGTCGACAGTGAAATAGCGCAGCTTTCAGCAGGTGCAGGCGTGCTGCTTGATTATGACGAATCACCAACGAATAAACGGATGGTAAAAGTAAAAATATCAGTTTCTTTTCGATGTAGTTTTCAATCCTGTTTTTTTTTCAGGACGATATGGAAGAAGAAAATATGCTCGAGTCGGTCGAAACCGTTCCTTATGGCGAACAGATTACAGTTGAAGTATCAAAGCCTCGAGAAACTTTAGGTATGAAAAATACAGATCAAAGTCCTTATGTCTTTCACATTGGCACAAGCATCGATGTAGGAAGGCGAGAGGAGGAACAGATAAAATTGATATTTTCTTATTGTAAATGAGTACGACTGTAACACATCCTTTCATCTGAGTTTGTTGCTTCTTGTCATTCTTTAATTTCACCCATTCCTTGGTTTAATAATTTAAATCATATTATGTCAATTGTCCGAAAAGGGATATTTCCTTAAATTTCGGACTAATAGCCAGAAAAATTTCCATTAATTTCTGTGAATGAAATTCTGATTGTTTCAAATTTGCAGAAGAATTGCACAGTATTTTCCCCTTTTGATAGTTACTGCCCATGTAAATGTATATGGAGCACGACCGATGTGTTAAATCAAAACACAGTTCTGTTATAAACAATAGATCTGTAAGTAAAGAATAACCAACTTTTGTAATAAAGTCATTACTGTACTTATAAGAAACTCCAGTGAATTGACAAGATATTTTTGTCAGCTGGAAGCCAAAGTAGGAACAATTGTGGTTCAGCTGCATCGTTAAAAACTTATTAGCTTATTTATAAAATAGATCTTAACTCTTGTGGAAATGAAGATCGAGAGCGATTCTGAAATAGAGAAGAAAACAACCTTGACTGTTACACCTATTTTCGACATCCTAAAAATCTGTTTAGTAGGCTTTGATTATTCAGATTCAGTGGCCAAGTAATGAATAAACCGGTAGTTCGCCTGTGAGTTCTCCGTTATTTCCAATTCTACCATAATTCTTTATGGAACATCTAGCAACACTAGCACTTTGCGCCTCTGACAGAAAGGAATGTTGATTATATTTTCCGTCTGTGAAAAAGTTACGGAAGTGCTCTTCTTGCATCGCATCAATAATCTGTATCCAGAAACAAACCATATTCACGATGTAGGTAAAATAGAACAACTCTCTGCCTTTTCTGGATGCACTAACTTCGAAAGAAAGGAACAGGTGCGTTTTTGTTTCTTAAGCTGACATAATGAGTCCTGTCGTTCGATTTCAGTTATATTGTGTGAAGAGGGCATTCTCTAGCTCTTTAACCAGCAGATGTTTCGAACTGAGCTCCGGCAGCAGTGGTATCAGCAACCAGAAAAAAGGATTTGCAAGGACAAACCTAGAAGGGAACTTCAAAAATTCAGTGCCAGCATTATTGTTGCATACGCGTAGCATTTTCGCAAGACACTGCAGAGGATCGCCTGACGGTGTGGAAAACGGTTGGTCTTCATATATTCCATGACGGAACAAACTGATGCATATCAGAACCGTCGAGGCGAATTCCAATCAATGCAGCAGGATCTACACCCTACCTAGTAACTGCGGTCTCAGTTACATAGAAGAAACAGGCAAGATCAAACAACAGAAGAGGAAAGGACGCCTCAGTAACCAGAGAACATGGAGTAACGCCGATCTCTCTCAGAATGAAAAGGCAGAAAGGGAAAAGATGAAGGCAAATTAATGTTCCGCAGGTGGTTAAGAAGGAATGCGCAAAGAACTCGGCGGCTTTGTTATATGAAGTACAAAAACAAACGCTGCATATTATAGGACCAAATTGAAGGAATGCAAAGATAGATGTTTCCTAAACTGGTAGATGAAGAAAGCCTAGGTAATTCTATCAAATCATGCACGAATAAGTATGTTGGTATGAAACTCAGTTCGCAGTGAAACGAAATTATGAAGCTAAAAATTTCACAGTGAAGCTGCTACCTGGCTTTCACAATTTATACAATGTTACCCATTTTGCATTATCACTCTGCATAGACCGATGGAACGTGATCAAAACGTGGGCGTATATGTATACAAAATATTTTATATATGCTACACTTCTCTAAAGGACTTTTTCGAATTTTGAATTGCTGTAGCTATAACTATGTGTGACAGAACTTTTTTCTCTAGAAAGTTCTTTCTCGGACGTGTTAACCCTTGTCTCATAACAAAAGTGACAAAAGCTGAGAATCAGGGGACATCATAAGCGAGATTTTCTGCTGTGCCAAATTCTTTGGCAACAGAAACAACTGTGAGGCTAAGACAAGTGGATCAGCCTTGCATTTTCAAATTACTGTGCCGTGCTTTATTAATTCTGCATTGTTTCATCCACAGCGACTGCTCAAATGAGGATAGAGGTGCATTGTAGCAGAGATTCGTAAATCGAAGAACATTTGTTATGTGACTTAGGTTATGATATCTCAACTCTTCCTTAATATTCTCCATGGGCAATCTCTGTTAACGTTTCATCGTTGGCTATTTTCAGCATATGGATACGCGATTGCATTTATCAGAAGAACGCTTCTAAGTGGATTTATAATTTTTTATTTCTAAGACAGAAATTGACGTGATCAAATTAAATTCTATTAGAAGGGCATGAGCACCACAAGCGCCGAAAGTTCACACGGTGTTGAAAATATTACATTTTAACTTTTCTTATCGAAGACATAAATGTATCTTGTGAAACAAATGGCTTGTTACCTTTCATTTTCATTGGCCATTAATCCAGCTTGAGGTTGTTGATGATTTTTACTGATGTTTAGACGAGAAACCAGTCGATTTTGAATCATCTCAGAGATTGCCGTCGCCACCACGGTATCCCGTGAGTAACATCATTCACGTGCGATGCCTCACTCGTCCATTCACTACCAGATCTCTTCATCAGCTACTGGCTCAGTTCGGAACGTTTTCAAAGGACGATTTTTGGATGGATGGCATTAAGTCGCATTGTTTAGTCAAGGTATTTTTTTATTTTCGATATCATTGCTTTTGCAAACTTTGTATTCGTGTTTATAGTACGAGAATGAGGAAGACGCGCTTCGGGCGAGAAACGCGCTACACAACTTACAATGGCCGCCATCGAATCAGAAAGTTCTGAGGGTAGATTTTGCTACTCAAGACGATGTACGTATTGTATATATTGCTCCTTTTCTTACCGCTTATTTTAGCTTGACAGGCATCGCGGACTGGTTGAGAAGAAACCAGCCAAAATGGTAAACTCTCAAAACGCAGTTCAGCTTCATCGTGAGCCGCAGCCTCGCGTTCCTGTCGAAGTTGATCGTCGAAGGATAACTCCAAATGAATTGCCCGTCGAGACCGAGTCAGACCGTCGTTCTCCGGCGAGGAACATATGGGTTAGTGCCGATATTATGGTTATTTTGCGTTATA